GGGATGAGGTCAGTTCTGATGGAAAGGCAGCATATACAAACCCGATCTGTAGGCCCTAAAAGGAGGCTCAGAATTGTGACTTCTCATTTAAATTCTCCATCACTCAGCCCTGTCTACATAGATGCAACCTGTAGCAACAATTGCCTGTGACTTTTGAACACCTTTGATCAGAGTGAGCACAGCTGGAGACAGAGGCCCCTAGATGCTTGCCAAAGCATGCGCATTTTTTAAAAAATGCTCTGAAAAATTAGATATAAGTAATATGTCCATTCAATGCCATGCTGGGCAGCACTTCACACGTACCTCTCCCTGGGCCCTGGATCCCCTAATCACCTGGAGGAAGGTAAACGTGTTTCATTCTATTAACTAACAGCTTAGCTGTTGCACAGTTACACATTCATTTCTGTCTAGTCGGGAAGAAATGCAAATACTTCCTATTTATTAGAAAAGAGCATAGTTCAACAACCAATTTGTTGGTTGAGACAGAGTCTCACCACACAGCTTTGGCTGGCCTCAAATTTGGCTATCCTCGACCTCTCCACCACTGGGACTACAGTTATGTACCACCATGCCCTGTGCCATTTTCCTGTTGAACTTTAGCCACTCTATACCCATGCTGCTTTTTAAGCACCTACTTCCCCAAAGGGCTCTTTGGATGAGATTTACCATCTTATTGATTCACTTACTAATGAGTTAATAAATCTTTGAGCATGCCCCATTGTATATTTCCATGAGGGCCATGTTTTGAATTTCCCTAAAATGCTATATCTTGCTATATCTAAAATCTCCAGAGCAGAACCTTCATGATGTCCTCCAGTCCCCATAGCCAGGGAGGCTGCATCCTGCTCACCAAATAGAGGGCATTCCACAACAGTGCCGTAGACAGCTGGCTGTGTATGAGGGTCCTTGAGGGCTTCCCCCTACATTGCCTGGCATTTCCACCTTTAGAGTTCACCATATCTTCATCCACTCCAAAACACTGCTCTTGACAGCTGAGACAGCCCAGCACCCACAGGGAAGGGGCTCTGAACCAGGTTCCTGCTGCCACGGGTGGCCTGGATGACAGCCTGGATTGGCATCAGTACTGAGTATGACCCACAGTGCTTTGTCTAGGTTTGAGAGAGACATACAGCTCTGCCACATGACTGAAATCCTGAGGGAAGAAGGCCTAAGATCCTGGCTGGGAGATTTTCTTTCTGGTTCAAGCTAGCTGATCCTAAGACACTATAACTTAGGCTTCATTACTACCTCATACTACCAAATAGGCTTAGCCACTCCAATTGACTCCAAGAAGAAAGACGAGGAAGCAGAGTGCTCAGTGGGTGTGAGGAAAGACCCTTCATTTTACAGTCTAAACAGGTCACTGACGACTCTTCACACTTTATTGAAAGAACCATCTGAGCTATTAGTGGGTCATTTGACCTACTCTCTATAAAACCTCCTCAGGTTCAGAAAACAACTCTAATAGCTCCCAGAACAGAAGGCGATATGGGACAGGTGCCTGACCACTGTCTGCCGGCAGCTGTGCTGGACCCTGGCCTGCTCAGCAGTGTCTCCCCAGGGAGTGGGAGCGGATGGGTCTGCCCTGGCTGACTTTGACCCTCAGCCCTCAGCCTCATCCCTGCAATCCTCACTACTCAGGTAGCTGAGATCTGAGGGTTGAAGTTCAAAGCCAGTCAAGGCAGACAAATCCAAGAGACTCTTATTACCAATGAACCAGCAAAAAGAAACCTAGAACTGGAAGTATGGCTCAAGGGGTAGAGCACCAACCTTGAATGAAAAAGATAAGCAAGAGCACCAGGCCAGTTCAACTCCCAATACTAGCGCCAACAAAACAAAACAAGACAAAACAGGAAAAAGATGCAAGAAGGCAAATTTGCCAGTTTCAAGAAAATGGATGCAACTGGAGATGTGAAGAAAATTAAGAAATTCATCATGGCTTGGTACCAGTGGCTCATGCTTATCATTCCAGCTGCTCAGAAGGCTGAGATCTGAGGATCATTGTTCTAAGCCAGTGTTCAGGCAGGAAAAGTCAGTTCACCACTGAAAACTAGAGTGGAGCTGTTGTTCAAGTGGTAGAGCTCTAGCCTTGAGCAGAAAAGCTCAAGGACTCATTTATATGGGCATATGTACATAGCTATTGAGCTATTCTGCTCATCTGCTAAGATTATCCTAGATATATACTAGTTATTACAAATAAGGGAGACCATGGCACCTATGTTTCTTTGGGTCTGCCTTACTTCACTTAATATGATTTTTTTCCAAGTCCTTCCATTTCCTTACAAATGGGGCGGTGTTATTCTTTCTGATGGAAGCATACGGTGATTCATTTAATTCCTTCCAATAGGATGGAAGAATGAAATGGCAGGGAAGAGAGAATAAAGTCAGAAGCCCTCCACGTTTCCTTTCGTATCCCTTCAAGAAGCCTGGCCCTGCACACATAGGCAGAGTAGACACAGCCAAGCTAAAAATCCAACATGGCTCCCACACCAAAGATGCCATCCTCCTCCCTTCTGCCGTATTCCCTTCATCCATGGAAATTAGTGTGATTTTTTTTCTTTGATTTAAGGAAAAGGAATAATTCTGAATTTTCACAGCTTAACAAAACCTTCCAAATAAAGCCTGAGTTAATGAGTTCTGCCCTGCATACACACTCTTCAGCATTATCTCTCCCAGGGTACCCTGCATAGTACTGAGCTGTCTTTGACCAAGCTCCAGCACTGTTGGGAACACAGATGCCTGCACGCTTAGCCATGCCACCAGCTGTCTTGGACTAGGGCGTGCTACACTGCACTGTGACTGTGCTTTACCCGTAAAGCACTTGCCTCCATGCTCCCTGACAGAGGAGAAACTGCATCTGCTCTTTCAGTTCTGAGCAGGTCCAGTGTCTGCTCTTTCCTGTTCCTGCTCAATGCAGGAACTGAGCAGACACTTGAAGAAGGGAAGGAAGTGAGGGGAGACGGTCCATGCCTGGACTCTTGGCCCAGGCCTTTCTTGCTCACACTAGCTTCAGGCCTGGTAAAAATTTCCCTGGAGCCGGAGCTGCCGAGAGGAAAGGGGAAAGGGAAAGGAAAAGGAGGCTGGAAGGAATGACTCTTCCTGAGAAAATACACCAGCCCTAGCAGGCAGATCAGGGCTCTTGGTGACAAAGCTCAGAGCTGTTGCTTAGGCATATTTTCACGGTCTCACCATGAGGATGACTTTGCTTCTAGCTGATCCATACATGACCCTGGGCCTGCATGTTTTTAGAAGAGTCTAAGGGGATTCCGGGAACAGCTGGCCCTGACCTACATATATTGGGCTCGCTGGAGACAGGAAATTCCATGTTGTAATGGCTGGATTTCTTCCCTTCATTCCTGATCCATGACTAAGTAGCTGATTGGTCATTAAAGAAAACATTTAGGCCAATTTCAAGACATCTGACCAGGCTAATATCTTCTACCCAGTGTACAGAAAATAGATAGAAAACAGGACAAATTTCAGGATCACCCATTCACACCTTCATTCTCATTGCTACCCTAACTTATGCATGCAGGTACCATGTCTACATGCCCTTCCTCTGCCAGCTTTGTCACCAGGGTTCACGGCAGCTGGGTTCACCACCAGCAACACACATTTCACACATGTGGATAACTGCAGTCATATTATCAACATCTGAACACATCTGGAGTGAATAGATCCCAAAAATCCTCTTCAGTATTAGGGGCAGGTAGTACTTTTAAACGAGTGCTTTCCCAACATCGACATGAAGACATGTTTTCAGACATGTAACCCAGGAACCTGGGAAGAAACCCAGGTGAACATCAGCACCCAATCAAGCCTCCCACAGCTGACTAGAGAATGGTGGGCAGAGATTAGAGAGATTATAATTCCTCATAGAAGGAATCTTTACGTCACATTTGCAATTTTTAAAAAACTGAATTCCTCACTCTTTCCTTCATGTTTTATTTCCTGTTTCCAAACAGAAATTCGATGATTTCTGCGCATTTAAATTTGCTCTTTCTTTCACGCCGAGAATTCTATTGCTCCTGTATTCAGTCTGCTCCCTCTCGGGGCACTTGCAAGTTGAGATTGTATTTCATTTCTAGACATATGTGGAGTGGGTTGGGATGATCCCATTACCCCTTCTCACTTGTGAGCACAAGGCTAGACACAGCAGTGAGCCTACTGGGCACAGCAAACCGGAGACTTCTCACTCTCTCTACGCCCTTCAGCTATGTGAGGCCAAATCTGTACAGTTCCCACAACCAAAGCCTCAAAATAATGAGGATTCGGTTGAACTAAAACAACTCTGCTGTTTTCAATCAAGCTTATCTATTTAATGAGAAGACATTTTTAGACTAAAGACTAAGCTTTTTTCTTTTCATTTTTTTCCATCCTTTCATTTTTTTTTTTCTTTGCTTGAGAGACTATAAAATATGCAGGTGGGCTAATTTTCTTTGTTTTCTGGCTTTTATTCATCTCTCAAAGCCAGATAATACCAGAGAGATTTCAACAGGCAAGTTGCTTACACAGCTTTGTATTCTGTTTTGTTTGTTTGGTTTTGTCGATTGTGGGGCTTAAACGCTGGGTCTGGGCGCTGTCCCTGAGCTCTTCAGCTCAAGGCTTGAGCCTTGAGCCACAGCGCCACTTCATCTTTGTGTTCTGAAAGGTGCTAAACCCAAAACAAAGACCTCACCAGAAAGGAGTCCGCACCCTTTCTCCTTCAGGAGTTTGCTATTCTAGAGCCCAACAAGGATCGATGAACAGCTTTCCGGTGCCCCAGGAACACTGAGAAGATTCATGTTGGTTGAGAAATTTAGACTTGGCTCTGGCCATCTGCTATCGCTACAGCTCCTGGTTGCCTTTCATTTGGCGATTGTGCTGTCTGCTCGGGTTAGCATCTACACTGGGGAGGCATATGCTTTCCCTGAGGCCCAGAAACATGCTGGCTTGGGAAACGGCGAGACCTCCTGATGGAAGCTCGTGTTTATAGACTTTCCTCTCCCCTTCTCTCCTAGTTACGGTGACAGTGGGAGGCAAGCAACACTTGTTGGGGCTCTATGACACTGCCGGACAGGTATGTTTTCGTTTGTTGATTCATTGAGGGTTGGAGAAGGGGGTGAACAAGAAAGAATGACCCCGGTGGCTAGGGGTGTGGGAATGACAGCACAGATGTTACTCGTCTTGATTATTTGGGTCCAACTTCTTATCCACCTGAGTGAGAACCAAAAGCACATCTTAACCCTTTTAAGAAAAAAAAAAGTAAGTATAACTAGAAAAGATGGAATCATTATATTACCTGCCTTACTGACAAATAGTAAGTTATTCTTTGATAACCTCAATAATGAAACTATTTTACGCTGCCCCCTTTTGTTGTACCAGTCCTGGGGCTTGACCTCAGGGTCTGGGCACTGTCTCTGAGCTTTTATGCTCAAGGCTAGTTAGCTCTCTACCACTTGAGCCATAGCTTCACTTCAAGCATTTTGCTGGATAATTAGAGATAAGAGTCTAACAGGGCTGGCTTTGAACCTCAATTCTCTGATCTTTGCCTCTTAAGTAGTTAGATGACAGGCTTATGCTCCTGCCCTGGATACTCAAATAACATTTTTTACAGAGTTTCAATTTCCTTCTACCCAAACCAAGTCCAACCCAATATTAATGGGTCCATTTTATAAATTTTAAGTTTAATGCTTTTATGTTATTTTCTTTGCCCACCCTCTCTTTGATTTGCCTAATGAACTGTGAAAAGGGGAGGAGATAGGAGAGAAACTGTATTCATTATTGGAATAAAGAAAATGCAGGACTCTAAATACTTTGCAAAAAGGAAGGTCAAAGTCTGAACTGACCTAAATTCTCTAGGATTTTTTTAAATCACCTAAGGCCATCAACTTGAATTGTCAACATTTACTAAGCTAATACATTCTCTGCTCAGGTGAAGCAACCACCACCTTGTCTTTCCCAGCATTCCATACATTGGCTCTGGAGAACTTCTAACATCACAGCTTCATGTGTTGGAGGAGAGGAAATGGAGAAGCAATTTGATGGCTGTGGCCCCATCTTTTAGACAGTTTCTTACCCTATGTCTTGGATCATTTCTTTAGGTCAAAATCAGCAATCTATCCAATGGAGACATCTAAGTCCTTAGGAGGAAGCATTTGACCTTAGTGTTAGCCACCATGATTTTCCTGGTCATTGTCAATAATTATGTACTCATCTAGGCCTTTAATTTTATTTTCACAAGTATCTAGAGATAGGTTGTTTGGCTTGATTTAAAAGCTGGCCACTAGAAAACAAATCAATGGGTTCTCTTCAAGAGTATCTGTAAGTAAGGCACCAAAAGCTGGCGTTGTTTAGTCAGGGCCAGGAGACTGTTAAATCTAGCTCCAGACTCAAGGCTTCTGGGAGCATCCAGTTTCTCACCATGGTCAGATGACTGTTTTGACCAGCCGCTGTCAGGAATTAAGGAGTAGAAGTGACTTCTCACTTCAATTGCAAAACACATAACTGGGAAAGAATGCTCCCCAGTCCACCAATGAGAAAACCAGGCTATTTGCTCTCATGCAGCTCATATTTTATATCCTCTACCTAAAGGTACTCAGTAATGGGGGGGACACTGCTTTGGGGGCTGGAACTGCCCACTCAACGTAGCCACACCCATTGGGTTATCTCCACTCAGCAGGACCTCACAGCATGACAGAGCACTCACACCTTCCTCGCTCATACTCAGAGGTCAGAGTCTAACCCAGTTTGCAAAGTTCAGTACAGAGAGGATTATTTCACGGCTCTGAAACCTCTCTCTGGTTCCCTTGCCTTCTCCAAAGCTAAGACCCCAGTGTCCGCTCAGCTCCCCTCCTCCCTGGTAACCTGTGGCAGTTGCTGGTTTCTGGGTATTAATTGGCCCACAAGCAACTTCCCAAGGCCTCTACTTAAGTTCATTTTTTTTTAATTTTCAAAGCTCTTCTAGAGTATAATTATTCTTTTCTATTTCTTTGTCCTTTTTGATATTTTTAAAAATAATACTAGTCTAGGAGCTAAAGCTATAAGGCACCGTACATTTTTCTTTAAATTCCAAATCAAAGCAAGCAGGATAGTTCAAGCTTCTGACACTGAAGTGATAAAATAACAAGTGTATTCTAGGTGTGTCTTCAACTTAACTTTCACTTTAGTGCCTTCTGCCAATTATATTGAAAGCTTAGAGGTAGTCAGGTTCATGGAAGTAGAAAGCATGGGGAAAAGGAATCCGAATATGTCCTATGTTCCCTCTAGGCCTCAGATTCCATGTTGAGAACCTGAAAAAATAACTTCCAGGCCAGGCATGGCGCTGTATGCCTGAAATCCCATTATCCAAGAGGCAGAAGTAGGAAGACTGTAGCCTGAGTTCTACCTAAAAACCAAACTGGGGGGGGGGGGGGGGAGAAAGAAAAAGAAAAAGTAAGAAAAGGTTTGGGGACATGGTTCTAATTACATAGTCTCCAGTATGACTCTCCCGCCCTCAAAAAGAAAAGATGTCAAGAAAACGTCATCTAGCTGTGTGAGATCGGGCCAGTCCAGGCAGAAAGAAGCTAGGCATGCTAGCACGCAACTCATCCTAGGTGCTTCAAGAACCCTAAAATAGGTAGTCAAGGTCCAAGCACCACCTTTGCAAGAAGCAAAACGGTCTCAGAAATTACCAACACAACAAAAGACTGGAGGCATGGCTCATTAGTAGAGCACCTGCTTAGCAAACACAAGACCCTGAGTTCAAACTCCAGTACTTAATAAACAAATAAAACCATAGAGGAATTGGGCAAAAATATTTGAGGTAAGATCCAAAGGAGACCTTTCAGTAGTAAAAATTTTAAATATTGGAATATGCTGCACAGAAGAATAAGCTGCGATTCATTCTTTAGAACAGCGGGTCTCCAACTTGAGCATGCATCAGAATCATTTGCAGGGCTTGTTATAAACTCAGCCCTGGGCCCTTTCCTCCAGAATTTCTGATTCTCCCAGTCCAGAGTGAGCAGCAAGAGTCTGATTTCTTTTTTCTTTTTTTTTGTCAGTAGTGGGGCTTGAACTCCAGGCCTGGGTGCTGTCCCTCAGCTCTTCAGCTCAAGGAAAGTGCTCCCCCACTTGAGCCACAGAGGCACTTCTGGTTTTCTGGTGGTTTATTGGAGATAAGAGTCTCGTGGACTTTCCTGCCTGGGCTGGATTTGAACTGTGATCCTCAGATCTCAGACTCCTGAGTAGCTAGAAGTACAGGTGTGAGCCACTAGCGCCCATCTAGAGTCTGCATTTCTAATGGGATTCCTGGCACTGTGACTGGTCAGCAGACTTAGGAAGCATTGTTTTAGAAGATCCGCATTCAAACTGTGACTCCCTGAGCCACAACGTGGACATCACCGGGACACATATTAGAAATGCAGGCATCAGGGCCCTGGGTCTAGCTGGCAGAATTGGGAAATTACTTTAAGAAGATTCCCCTGGTCCAGGCATGGTGGCTCACACTTGTAATCCTAGCTAGTCAGGAGGCTGAGATCTGAGAATCGTGGTTCAAAGCCAGCTTAGGCAGAAAAGTTCATGAGACTCTTATCTCCAATTAACCTGCAAAAATCTGGAGAGTGCTAGCCTTGAACAGAATAGCTTTTAGAGACAATGCCCAGGCCCTGAGTTCAAGCCTCAGGACTGGCACAAGGAGGAAAAGGAGGATAAGAAGAAAGAAGGAAGAAGGAGAATGAAGAGGAGGAAGAGGAAGAGGTGGAGGAGGAAGATGATGGTGGTGATGCTGGTGGTGGTGATGATGATGATTCTCCCAGGTGAAGCCTTTAGTGAGTGAGGCATTGTTCCCAAAGTTAGAAGTCAGTGGAAGAGAACCTTTGCCCAAATTAATGCCTGTAGGGCTATAATGCAGAAGTCTTTGCAACAAATCTCATTGAGAAGCCTTGTCCCCAAAGTTCCATTCTCAGCTCAACTTGGACAAGCCACCCTTCCTTAATTGTATCCCATGTAATGCTGCTGAGATCGCATAGCTAAGAAATATCTATGATTCAACATTACTCAGTTGGCCAATGCGCAATGAAGAAAAGGAGATCTCCAAACCAATGGATGAACCTGGAACCACAAGGGAGAGGGAGAGAGGGGAAAAAGAGAAAGGGAGGGAGGGAAAAAGGGAGGGAGGGAAAAAGGGAGGGAGGGAAGAAGAAAGCAAGGAAGGAAGGAAGGAAGGAAGGAAGGAAGGAAGGAAGGAAGGAAGGAAGGAAGGAAGGAAGGAAGGAAGGAAAGGAAAGGAAAGAAGGAAAAGAAGGAAGGGAAAATCTCTGAGTTTGTCTAGAGAATTCCATCTTACTTGAAAATTAAATTTTCTTATAGGCATAAACCAAAGAGCAGTACTCTCATCTTTCAGTGGGTCAAAGTTAACCAAAACAACCTCAAAAAGCAAATGCGCCCTGCAAGGTGGCCTGATAGGAACTCATTTCTATCCTCAAAGGCAACCCTAAATTGAAACTCTTTGGCCTGGATACGTCCATTTGAGGTCTCAGCCTGCCTCAGACATGGCTTCAGCAAAGCCTGGGCTCCACTCTCTCCTGTACTCACACAATTCAGCCGGGCATTTGCTAACAACAGTTTCTAAGGAAATCACACCCGTGCCCTGCCAGCCCATGACAGCTGCTATTCAACATCACCTCGCTCCCTAAACCCCTGAAACAAACTAACATGGAGTGGAGTGCACTGACGATAAAGTCTTCAGAAGTCAGGATCATCTATTGGGGAAAATTCCAACCATCCCATTAGGCGAAGGAAAGGGTTTTCCCCTCCCATCACACCAGACCTGCCGCAAGGTGCGGCCTCTGGCCAAATCTATTTAGGTCCCGCCAACGACTGGCTTACAGCGTAAGCCCCTTTTCCTGTGTTGCTGGAAGGATTTCTAAAGCTCAGATCTTTGGCTCAGCTGCAGAGTCCCCAGGCTGACTGCTTCATGATGTTCTCTAGGCCAGCCAACGTGGTCAGAGAGTGGCGAGAGAGACCAAGCAATCAGGATATGGAGGGGGAGGGTGTGTAGCAAACCCTGGACCTGAGGAACAGGGAACAGCTCACAGCTTG